AGCTAGGTGATGTCCACAGACGCAAACATTTTAACAGGTTTAAAAAACACACAGTGCCAACGGACGAATAAAAGTGGTCGTGCTGGGAATATCAGCTTTGGTTGGAGATGGAGTTTCATGACGCTGAATCGTGTGGATTGTGTGTGTGTGTCTGTGTGCCAACAATGGAAAGTATCTGAACCGGTCCTGGGCCTCCCCGTAGGTCGACTCAGCCTTAATTGAGAACCTGGTGTGGTGTGTAGGCATCAGTACTGGGGAGACCAAACGTGGCCGAGCGTGGCATTGACCACCCACCCCTTCATGCCCTGTGCTGGCCTTCAGAGGACGCTTGCTAACGGTCTCTTAAAGGCTATGAGGAAGATCATCTTTGTCAGCAGCATATGTTCGTGTGTGTGTGTGTGTGTTTTACACCAAGGCAGAGAACAGACAATGTCGTCAACAACCACTCACATGGCGCTACTGCTAAAGCCATATTTGACAAGCTGGAATTTATAAGCTTTGGCATCTTCTAAACAATTACCACCGGATTCAACAATAACACACACACACAAAGGTGTGTAGCATCGTATGCACAAAAAACTCTAGAATTTATCCAGACCACCAACGCATGAAAACTGAATGTGTGGCCATTGTGTTATATATAGACCACCAACTCAAACAGTTGAAAGATGTGGCCAGCCTAACAGGCGCAAATTTTAAACCACGACGGGTATGTTCTGTGTTTCTGAATCGCAGTGATAAATAGCCTGGTAACTGCCTTAAAAGTGGGTTTTAAAATGTGATATTCAAAACTTCACTTTTGAAAATAATGCACTCTACAGGCAAACCCTCCCAACCCACAAGCATTGCTCACGTTTCATAGACGCACGCTTCGGCTGTCTGTCTGGGTCGTCATGAATGAGATTAAAACGTCACTGATGAGAGAAAAGACACCGACGTTAAGCTCCATTACGTCATGCCATTCGTGACATCGCCGCATCGTCATCCCCATTCGTTTGAATTATGTCAGTGCAATGGTGCCAGTCGAGCACTGTCACAGAGTTACCTAACCGTGACTTTTAAGTTTTTTTTCCCGTGGTTAACGACACACTGCTACGGCCTGGCCCGCATCGTAAGGCACGTCGCGGGGTTGGGGCAATGGTGCGCGGTGGTCAGCGCGCTGCGCGATGAACTCCGCCACCCGCAGTGCCATTCGCGAACACGGCGAACATCGGCTCGTGATGTCTGCGCAGACCCACCCAGCCGTGCGGCTCAACCACAACAACGGGTCTCCGCTTGATGCCCCTAAACTGCACGCCGCCACTCATATTAATCGCCATGGAGAGACAGAGAGAGACAGAGAGAGAGGCAGCTGAACCAAGGTCATCGTTTCCAGCGAGGCCGGGCGAGGGACCGCCACTGTGCTATATCTCACTGCCGCCACTTGGTGTCAGGCCTGCGACGCGACTCGGGCAGAAGCGAACGCAAATTCAGGAGGGGGAAAAAAAAAACACAAACCTGTGGCTACTATTGTTGTGCTGTTTGCGTTCTTGGGGGGGGGGGTGGTGGGGAAGGGGGGAAATAGGGCGTATACATTTATCTTAATGGCTGGAGAAAAATGAAAACGTGGTGTAAATGTCATGTCTGGTAAATAAAGGGTGATCGGTAACATCGTCAATCATTGAACTTCTGGGGTCGGCCCACCAAAATACGGGAGGCCTTTAGTGGTCGTCCGCTGTTCCTCACCCGTGGGGATCTCGACACCGACAACAGAAATTGCGAGCAAAAGCCTCATCATGTCCAAGGGGAAAGCGAGCTGACAACCCCGGCGTATTAGGGGAGCCTCAATTGCGTTTGGGGATTAAGACTGTTCAACGTAATGTGCGCACAGAGATATGAAAACGCGCACACACAGACAATTCTCCTATACTGCAGTGGCTTATTTTAAAAAGGGCAAATCATTAAAAAAACAAAACGAGCAGAGGTCTGGGATAACTAGTGACACGTACACAAACACACACATTTGACCCGGTTTTAACCACTTTTGCGCCTAACCTGTGTGTTAAACCATTTACAAAACAAGAGTAAACAGCCAAATCTGGCCCTGCTGGATATAACCATCCTCGTTAGTTGTACATGCGGCTAAGGGAACTGCAGAGTGTGTGTTGTCGGTGCGTGTGCATCTGCGTGGGGAGCGGTGGTGCAGCGGTTAGCGCTCGGCACTGCGAACCCGGCGACCCGAGTTCGATTCCCGCTCACGGCCACCAACGCCGGTGACGAATTACCTCAACCAGTCCCTGGGCCTCCCCCGAGGTCGGCTCAGCCTCGAATGAGCAGCCGGTGCGGTCGTGTAAACATTTCCACTCGGGAGACAAAGGCGGCCGGGCGTGGTGGTGACCACCCTCCCCCTCGTGTAGGCCGTGTCAACCTTCACGGGTGCTTGCCGACAGCACTTGCTCCCGCAGTCTGTCAAAGGCTTGCCTGCTTGCGTCCGCGTGGACGGAAAACACGTTTCTCAAATGGCGAAAAATTCCTTGCGGCTCGTGCCAACGGCGTGTGAATGCATCGCACCACCCGGGCCAGAGTGCGGCGAGGACAAAGACAACGGCGGCGAAAACAACACGCGGCCAAATGACCCGCGGGCATGGTACCACAACCTCCGATATCCTGCGGTAACCTCGAACGCGCGACACGAGCCTGCTGCGTACGACAACAACTTACATTCAGATCGCGCCCGCGATTTAGCGCACGTCTTTGAAGTGCAGTTTTTTTCAGACTAAGGGCCACCCCACCGATGACAGCTGGCCCTGTGGCAAGATACAACCTGTAACATTCTGCAACAGTAAGCATTGCTACAACCTCCTGTACCATGGTGCAACCTCTTGTAAGATGCTGTGACTTCCTGTAACATGCTACGACGTCCTGTACCACGGTATAACCTTCTCTGCCACAGTACAACCTCATGTAACATGCTGTGACCTCCTGTAACATGCTACGACCTCCTGTAACATGCTGTGACCTCCTGTAACATGCTACGACCTCCTGTAACATTGTGACCTCCCGTAACATCCTGTGACCTCCTGTAACATGCTACGACCTCCTGTAACATCCTGTGACCTCCTGCAACATGCTACGACCTCCTGCAACATTGTGACCTCCTGTAACATGCTGTGACCTCATGTAACGTGCTACGACCTCCTGTAACATCCTGTGACCTCCTGTAACATGCTACGACCTCCTGTAACATTGTGACCTTCTGTAACATGCTGTGACCGTCTATAAGCTGCTGTGACTTCCTGTACCATGCTGTGACCTCCTGTACAATGCTACAACCTCCTGTACCAAGCTACAACCTCCCGTACCGTGCTATGACCTTCTGTAACATGCTGTGACCTCTTGTACCATGTTGTGACCTCCTGTACCATGCTAAAACCTCCTGTACTATGCTGTGACCTCCTGTATCATGATGTGACCTCCTGTACCATGCTACAACCTCCTGTACCATGCTACAACCTCCTGTAACATGCTGTGACCTCCTGTACCATACTGTGACCTCCTGTAACATGCTGTGGCCTCCTGTACCATGCTGTGACCTCCTGTATCATGCTGTGACCTCCTGTACCATGCTACAACCTCCTGTAACATGCTGTGACCTCCTGTACCATACTGTGACCTCCTGTAACATGCTACGACCTCCTGCAACATTGTGACCTCCTGTAACATGCTGTGACCTCATGTAACGTGCTACGACCTCCTGTAACATCCTGCGACCTCCTGTAACATGCTACGACCTCCTGCAACATTGTGACCTCCTGTAACATGCTGTGACCTCATGTAACGTGCTACGACCTCCTGTAACATCCTGTGACCTCCTGTAACATGCTACGACCTCCTGTAACATTGTGACCTTCTGTAACATGCTGTGACCGTCTGTAAGCTGCTGTGACTTCCTGTACCATGCTGTGACCTCCTGTACAATGCTACAACCTCCTGTACCAAGCTACAACCTCCCGTACCGTGCTATGACCTTCTGTAACATGCTGTGACCTCTTGTACCATGTTGTGACCTCCTGTACCATGCTAAAACCTCCTGTACTATGCTGTGACCTCCTGTATCATGATGTGACCTCCTGTACCATGCTACAACCTCCTGTACCATGCTACAACCTCCTGTAACATGCTGTGACCTCCTGTACCATACTGTGACCTCCTGTAACATGCTGTGGCCTCCTGTACCATGCTGTGACCTCCTGTACTATGCTGTGACCTCCTGTATCATGCTGTGACCTCCTGTACCATGCTACAACCTCCTGTAACATGCTGTGACCTCCTGTACCATACTGTGACCTCCTGTAACATGCTGTGGCCTCTTGTACCATGCTGTGACCTCCTGTGCCATGCTACAACCCCCCTTTACCATGCTGTGACCTCCTGTAACATGCTGTGTGACCTGTACCATGCTACAACCTCCTGTACAATGCTACAATCTCTTGCAACATGCTACAACATTGGACACGCTTCGCCAATCTATGAAAAGCGACAGCAACCGCTGGCATTGCAAACTGACGCCGAGCAGAGTCACAGGTTACACGTTACGAGCAACACTGAACAAACTTCGCAACAACATGAGCTTAAAATACTGTGCCACCGTTCATCTTTGAGCAGACGCACAACATTTTGCAATTCACGTCATAATGGTAGTGCATTCAAAGTATTTTTCGGCCTGTGTGTCTACAATGTTGCCAATAGGCAGTTTATAGGCTTTTAACTTACGTCAAAATGACGCATCCATTCATTATGTTTTTAGCAGCGTGGGTGACGATTTAAGCTAATTGAATGTATTTGGGATCGCACACACATGGCAGCTACATCGCGGAAAACTTAGCAGGATCCTCCTGAAGAAAGAGTCTTGAGACTCAGTGAGGCTTTCCCCGGGGAAACAAGCGTAAAAATACAAAGTCACAATTAAAAAAACACAGAGCATCTAAATGTGAACGAATTAAAAAAAAAACACTGCATGAGGACTTGTTCCGGCAGTACATGTGCAAAAATTTGGAATGATAAAGCGAAGATTAGCATGACCCCGTATGCAAGGATGACACGCAAAATCGTGGAGCGTTACATATATATTGGAAAAAAAAATTCGGGTAAAAAGGAAAAAAATAAAAAGTGTGCTAAAAAATGAGGACGTTCATCACACCCAAGATTTGTCTTTTCAGGGAAGCAGCTGTGGGTCGGGGCCCAGAGGACAGAAAAATGCCAATGACGATGGCCCGGCAATGTAATGACTGAAAACGCCTCAAAGACACAAGGCTGTCACAGCCATTTCTCCACGCGGCAAATGGTGCTCACGATCCTGCTGTTTCGTTCCTTAAATAGAGGGATAGATCATGTCACTTGTGAGCCCTTCTTGTGCGAAGTGGGGGGGGGGGGATTAATGAATACATATAAATTACAATGGGCATCCACTGCCTGTCGGGCTATTACTATGGTAATCAATGTACAAGAAGGGCTCACAAGTGACGTCATCACATCTATCCCTCTATTTAAGGAACGATGCAGGAGGATTTCTCCACAAATCTGGCTTCTGCCTGATGATGCCGGTTGTAATTGCTGGCGAAACGTCGTACTCAGATTGTAAATGTTGTGGAATTTGCATGTGCTGTTTACGTGACAAATCTTACTAATTGGCTGTGTCGGGTGGTGACGGGCTTAACGATACATTTATATTTATGCGATCTAACCCAAAAAAACCTGCATTATGGATGCTATTTGTCGTGAAAGCCTACGTGTTAAATTGTATCGCAGTGAGCGTGTGAATTCGCCGTAACTGATTCTAAAGTCGGTTTCACAAAACGAGCCTCCCGTCGTGGCCTTCAGAGACGTGCGCCCGCACGGAGTGCTGTCCCACGGCACCGACCTGTTGACCCCGCTAACCCCGAGAGCGCCGGAAGCGATTCGGTTCGCGTGGCCTGTGTGGGAGAACCGGCGACGCGGAGAGGAACCCGCGGCACCGACGCCGCGCCAACCGGCAAAAACCAAAAACCCACCGGGGGGCTCCCGTGCTAACAAATGGGACGCGGTCGCGACGGCCCCGTGGGACCAAGGGTGGAATTGAGGTTTGCAGAGCGTACAGTGCTTGCGAGGTGCACACGCACCATCGGCAGGTGATACGGGCCCAGCCGGCCGGAGGAGGTCTCATCACGCCGGAACACATTTGCTCACTTTCCCGACGGTTTCAATTCTGCACGGAGGATTTGTGGCCGGCGCTGAGCGCGCGCCCGTGCACGCCCACAGCAAAGGCAAAAGGTACCCTCTCCCGTATAGCCTTCAACAGGCCGTTGGGGCAAGTGCTGTTAAGCCAAGCAGCTGTAAAGGCCCGTATGGTACACGAGGGGGCGGGTGGCCAACACCACGCCCAGCCGCTTTTGTTTCCCCAGTGCTGATGTTTGCACACCGCACCCGGGTACTCATTTAAGACTGAGTTAACCTAAGGGAGGCCCAAGACTGGGTCAATCATATGCCAATGTTATGATTGGTAATGAGCGGGAATCGAACTCTGATCACCGGGTTCGTAGTGCACTGCACTAGCCAACGAGCAATCAATTCCGCAAACATAGCACGTGTGTGAACACACACAAAGACACACGTTCAACAGATCCGTGTCCCCCTGTGAGCCAAGGTGGCATGGCAGGTAATTCAACACAGGCTATTTAACAAAGGTCATTCATGTCATCAAGTGGAATGGCCGTTGGAATTAATTATCCGTTTTTGAAATGGGAACTCAAAAACTGGACCTGTGAAAGACATTTTCATGTAGCTCATAATTTTAGCTGTTAAGCTCTGGTTTTACAACACAATGGCCCAACTTGTGTGAACTACACCGCGACGTCTTGAACATCTGCTTCATAACAGACGATGCTATTTGGTAATGAATCCTTCGCGGAAACTCTCAATTCGTGCGCACGGGGCCCTCGGATCAGATTGACAATATACGCATGAGAGGAGTGCACAGCTGACTGTAGCATATGTTCATTGTGCCTTAGGAAAATAAACCACAAACAGTATTGTGGGCTAGTTCCCTTGCTATCCTGCAAAGAGCACAGGACAACGATAGTTTTAGCTGAGATGATTGGTCGATGAAGTCACTCCATGAATGAAACATTTAAAACCAACCAATTTTTTTTTAATGGTCAATTACTCGGGACCCTTTGAGACTGGGTGCGCTCTTGCAGTGCTTCAGGGCAATGATGATACCGATGATGTTATTAAGCCCTGCCCATTACCTCCCGTCCAGCATCACATTTTTGGGAACAAAGGTGAGACTACCTTTTTGCCAACTATACTTGTGCTGTACAATTGGTTGAGTAGTCGAGTAATCGAACCGATGATCGGTGTAGTAATCAAATTAATTGATTAATCAGATAGCCCAGCTCAGCATGTCAATACCAACATGTACTTGTCTACGACTACCGTCTCTCCGATTGTGCCTTATGAAAGTACAGGCGATTTCCGTTTGCTAGCACGTCACACCTATCCTGAAATCTGGCTGAACATCTGTTCACCACACAATACGGCATGTGAACAAGAATGAAAGAAATAAATCACAGCCCTTTGTCAATCCACTTGCTGGATGAATGCAGCCCCCCCATTCCCTGCTCGTCATGGCCGTTACTTGAACCACACTTCACCGCGTGGGTGAAGGGGAATTGGGGGAGCCCAAGAACAGTTCAGAGTTCAATTCCCGAGACCAGTTCAAACCAAGCGGCTGGACAGAATCAAACTCAGGTCGCCGGAGCTCATAGTGCAGGGAAGCTAACCAAAGCACCATCGCTCTTCCACCGTGTAAGTTATTCTTGTGAAAACATGAAAATGTGAAATGTAAAAATGTTTAAAGACCATGTTTATTCACCGTGTGCCCTCTTGCTTGGCAAATTATCCAAATGGCAAATGACATAATGTCAAAATTGGTTATGAATATGTATGTAAAGGCACACACATTGTGAGCGTTGTATTGAGCTTTTATCAGTCTCAGCCGAGAGAATGCCTGCACGCCTGCGTGCATGTCAATGTCTTTTCCTAACGTTGCACCCACCATTCACAAGAGGGTCCCCCCCTACGACCTTTGTGAGAACAAATGAGGCCTTCTACGTTTGCGCGCGCGTGTGCTCTACATCCATAGTCAAGGTCAAGAACACAGCATGTACTCATCCCTCATTTGGTTTATAACCACGTTAATTAAGCGCACGTAATGTGCTCCTCACTGAGTTCTTTGGTCACACGAAAAAAAATAAAGGCACTGGCATTGGTAACATTTAACGATTGCTCAATTTGTGTGCGTTCGCTCTCCCAACACGCCGGGTGTGCTGTAGCAGAAATACATTGGCTGCGTTTGTTAAACTCGTGACAACTTCGTTGATTGGCTTTGTCAGGTGGAGGAGGGGGTTGCACAACACACATTCCACTTACGAGATCTGACCCCAAAAAATTCTATGACGAATTATAATAGTGGTCGCGAAAGTCTACGTGTTACATTTTGTGATGAGATTATTCACTTGCGGAGCAGTGGCACAGTGGGTCCTTGCCACACACTACGAACACGGAAACCTGAGTTCGACTCCTGGCCATGGCTAACATTGGTGGCAAGCGATAACAGAAGGTCCTGGGCCCCTACCTTCACCAACACGCAATGACCGGCATGAAGTAAGGCTAAACAACTCCCCATGATCAACCAGCATCAGACTAACAAAGAGCCGTACATTATTACACGTTATTATTCATCAAAAACATTGCGCAAATTATAAATTAAAGGAAAATAATATTCCCCGTAGCATAAGTCTGCTTGGGAATATCATTACTCAACCGTACTACAAGAAGGAGACTCCAATGGTTTGACCATCGTTTATGAACAGATGGAACTCTGGCAACCTCAATGGAAGATATGTAAGTGTGGAAAAACTCCTTAAGAAAATATTTAAAAAACAATGGTTTTATTAACAACTTCGTTTAACTCACGGTCGAGAAGTACGTCAATGATGCGCCGCTTGCTCCCACATCAACGGTTACTTGGATTAATTGATTACTTTTGTAACTCGTTCACACGGAGCAGGCGATTCGAGAGTTTAGGGACCGCGGCGTTTTTGACCTACACAAATATATATAAATAATAATAAAAAGTAAGGCGAATTAATTGATTAATTAATGACGATTTTGATACAGGCATGCATTGCCACCGGATCTGAGTACGTGTGCAAAAATTAAGGATTGATTGGACAACGGGAAGTGGACGAAGATTTGACTACGACACAGGAGTCAAGTTAAGCAAAACCGTTGAAAAAAAGGACAACCCTGGACTGCAACGAACAGATACCGTTACGCAATGGACACAAGACTCTCCTCTTCACCAAGCAGACGACGATCTCCGCAGCCTGACTGCCCCCAGGGAGGGTCACGTGTTCACCGACGCGACCCTCCTCCGAGCCGAGAGTAGACCGAATTTGTTTGTCCCCTTACAGCCACGCGCTCCGCTAACACACGGAGGAGCGGCGCCCCGGCACGCGAGCGCTCACCGGAGGTGGGCCTCTGAAGGGCGCCGCCGCTCGTGATGCTGGCGCTCTTCTCCGCGGACGGCATCGCGTCAACCCCCGTCCTCCTCCTCCTCCTCCTCTTCAGATCTGCCACGCGGCCTGTGCGCACGCACGCACGCACGCACGAGTTTTTCTTGGGGAGGCATTTCTTAAACGCGTGAAGTGTTCGGAACAGGTCGCGTAACGTCACTGGACGAATTATACGTGAGCGTACTGGGCCACGTGTTGACGTGGCACCGAGTTTGATTCTCGCAACTGGAAGGTTGTGAGCCCATCATTATCCCAGGGGTGGAAACATTTCATTGTCTGTCTTGGTGTCCATATTATTTGCCAGGGTCGTGATTCAATTGAAGCATCAATCATTTATTTCCGCTGTTGGGGAAATTAGCAGACTGCAGTGGCTGCAGGGGTCACCGGAGCCCGTTGCATTGAGCGTATACAAATAAAAAAAACACGTCGCTACTTACACACGTGATTAAACATGTTTATCTTGAGCTCAAGAATCTATTAATCGAAGCATCGGTACATGACGTCTACGCACAACACCAGCACCACCACCACGATGCGCGGTTCTTTGAGAGACGATTCTTCAAGACGTCTGGAAGTTACAGGGTAGGTCCCGTTCACTGCTGAATCTCAGAACGTGTAGCGACATGACCGCACTGTATGATAGCTGGCGCCACACTGTGCCACACGCCCTCCCACATGGCACTTTTGCTTCTGATTCCGTCCGGAATTGATTCTGTTCCGATGACGTACGGAACGGGAAAGGGTTAACATCTCAGCGCCATGCTCGCTAGGACGTCAAGGTCCGTGCGAGAGCGATGTCGCACCGAGACCTCGTCTTTTGTCCAGGCCAATGAGCAGATGTGGCTTCGCTCATTCAATAATGCTGTGTCGCATTGTCAGGGGGGGGGGGGGGGGGGGGGCCCGAGGTTATATTTGAGCAGCGATCGCAGAACGCGGACAAGAGCCCAGTAACCAGCGGGGTCATCCTCTCGATGCAACGCGTTAAAAATAAATCTGGCGCCAAGCTGCTCAGTCGGGGCGTTTCTATTTGAATTTCGAATCGAAAATTGCATTAGCGCGCTCTCATTATGACTTTAATGGATCTATTTTAACATCGATCCCTGTGTAGCGCGTGCAAATTAAAGTCGGTGCCAAATTGTATTATGGGACGATCATGAGCTAAATTGGAAGCAGCTAAAAAATGAATAGGTGGGGAAAATAGCATTGAGAAGAAAATTACGTACTGCTGATGTGTTTCACTAGCAACGATTCTGCACTTTGTTTTTCAAGATAACTCTCGGAATACAAAACCCCCAATATTTACGGGACGTATTTTATGTTCATCGTTTCTCTATTGGATAAAGGCACAGGCCTGAAATCGCCTGCCAACGCCACTGCTGGCAGCTTCAGAGAGCTCCTCTCGAGGGTATTTCGGTCAACGCTTCTACGCTGGCCGGAAGTCTTTTGTAGGAGGTGGCAGTAACCAACGCTTTACCCCACCACGCGCCACATGCCAATCGACCAACTGTGGTGAATCCATTTACACTGCTGGGAAGGATCTGGAGTAGCCGGAGGAAACCAAAGCAGAAAAACAAGGGGGGGGGGGGGCGGAGAACATACAAAGTCCAGACAGGCGAATATACAACGTCTAGACCAGTGGTTCTTAACCTTGTTGGAGGTACCGAACCCCACCAGTTTCATATGCGCATTCACCGAACCCCTCTTTAGTGAAAAATAAAATGTGATTTTTTTCAAATTCAAGACATAGATATGTTTTTTACTGGTACACAAAATGAGCCGTGCATGAACATTACCTTGTTCAAAGAATAAAACCAACACAATGCATAAACTCACAACAAATTACATACCTGGAAATCAATGTGACTTCTGCTGTTGCCTTTGAGAGATCAGTTCAGATATGCGTGGCTTCACCTTGGCAAGTGCCACTCTCATGTCATTTTCACAGCAAAGTCTGTTCCATTTCTTCGTTTTTATGTCCAGCATCCTCGAAAAGGATTGCTCACAAAGATATGTTGTAACAAATGGTATAAAAAAATCCAGGGCTTTCTTAGCAATAACTGGATACTTGTTCATTTGTCGACACCAAAACGTTGAGAGCGTTGTTGTTCTGAAGAGTTGCTGTTGAACCTGGCTCTGCTGAATTTCAATGATTTCGTCGAGGAATTCATCATTGACATCTGCTGTTTCAACAGCAAACGTGAACGGCTGTCTCACCCATGCTGGATATGACTCTCTTGTAGGGAAATATCCGTCGAGATACTTTGCAAGCTCATCTAAGTGCGTAGCAATTGTTTGCTTCAGTTCCGTGGATACAGAAATATCTCCGATTCCAGACACATCTTCGATCTTACTTGCACAGTCGTCCAGAAGCGGGAAGTTTGCGAAGTTATTGTTCTCTGTTCGTCGTTTCCATAACGGTAGCTTTTTTTGAAAAGCCTTCAGGTGTTGTTCCGCTTCCATGATATTGACTCCACCACCCTGCATCTGCTGATTGAGATGATTGAGAGCTGCGAATATATCAGCCATGTACGCTAAAATTAGAATGAACTCAGGATTTTTGAAGCAATCTGCATGGCAGTGTTGGTGCTCTTGGAAAAACAGGGCTAATTCCACACGCATGGCAAAAACACGATTCAGCACCTGTCCCCGGGATAACCACCGAATATTAGAATGGAGCAGAAGTACCTCAAATTCAGAGCCCATTTCTTTACACAGCTCACTGAAGATGCGGTGCCTCAGAGCACTTTTTCGCACATAGTTCACACATTCCACCACAGTTTTTAATACTTCTGCCATTTTTGGAGGTAAGGTTTTTGTTGCCAACGCATGCCTGTGCAGAATACAATGCGTCACAATGATGTGTGGTGCATCGGCCTTTACTAGCGCACCAAAACCAGACTTTCTTCCCAGCATGACTGGAGCTCCGTCCGTACAAACTGCAGAAACCATATCCCATGAAAGATTGTTGTCTCTGAAGAAGTCATCCACAAGCTTCTTCACATCGGCTGCCTTCGTTGTTGTTGTAAGAGGCTTACAAAATAAAAACTCTTCTTTTATCATGTCGTCTTTCACATAGCGTACAAAAACAGCAAGCTGGCTTAGATCAGAAACGTCTGTGGTTTCGTCGAGTTGAAGGCTGAATTTTGCCGGGCTTGAAATCAGATCCGCGACTACTTGAGCCAAGATGTCTTTACTCATCTCTTCTATTCTGTCACTGACGGTGTCATTTGAAAGGGGAATTTGGGATAATTTACCTTCGGCCGCTGTTCCGAGTATCAGATTCGCCATCTTTAATGCAGCTGGTTTCACAAGTGTTTCACCAATGGTGTGTGGCTTGCCCTGCTTTGCGATCAGGTAAGCAACTTCGTACGATACTGTCAGGATCGGTTTGTTAACAGGTACAAATCCAAGAGCAGGCAGAGTGGCCCTTTCATCGAATCTGGCTCTCTTCACCCTGAATTCAGCAAGTGTTGTGTTCTTGTATTCCCCGTCTCCATGCAGCTTCAAGAAGTGTTCCTTTAGTTTTTGCCGGTGCAAGACTAGAGTTGCTCAACTTGGCGTTGCAAATCATGCAGATAGGACGCTCACTCCCATCACGTTCCGTGATACATGAGAATCCATGTTGTACATATTCGTCCGACCACTTTCTTCTTTTGCCCGACATAGTTAGTATGGATAAAATATTAAAGAAATCACACGACGTACGACAACAACAGTCACACGTTGACTACTGAGTACGCACTAAATTCCCCGCAGCGCTGATTGGCCAAGCAGTGTAGCATGATCATCTGCAGCCAGTGATGGCCAAGCGGGCCGTGTGTGTCATCACAAATTTACACAATAATTCAAGTGTGTCCGGACCTCCGTGGCGGGGGCTCTGCCGAACCCCTGAGATCGACTCACCGAACCCCTGGGGTTCGATCGAACCCAGGTTAAGAACCACTGGTCTAGACAAAACGATGGCCCGAGTCCGGAATCTAACCCAGGCCGCTGCTGCTAGCGAGTCACGAGTGCTACCGCTGCGGCGCCAACCTGCCGCCGGCATGCAGAGCCGGGGGGGTTTGGGTCGAGCAGGGTTACCGATGTTTCCCAGGCGCAGGTGTAGCTGCCCCGCGACGACAGCGGAGGCCGTGCTGAGGGCCTGCGGGCCGCTCGGGTGCAGCTGCTCGTGGTCCGTCGTGACGACGTCCGCGTGGTGCCACGCCTGCACCGCTCCGCGCCCGCACCGCAGCAGGTGCTGCTCGCCACGCCGACACGTGGGGGGGCGGGGGGGGGGGATGCGGCGCGATCAGCACCAACGTCCGTCGTCGACGGCGACTCCAGATGCGTTAACCGGGATGAAAGCCCGCAGAGGTGTGCAAACCGCAGGGGTTGGTTTTTTTTTTTTCTCTCTCGCCAAACGATAACAACAACCCTACCCATCGTGGACCAAGATCCCGACAATGTCACCTCGCCCACAGACTCAAGGCCTGATTCCCCCCTTTAGGTATCGCGCTCTCATCATCCTAGAATCTGACCAAAGATCAGGAAGGACGCTGGCCAACAGAGTGCAACAACGTGGGCGTCCTCCAGAACATACACCTCGTTCGAAAACCCAAACATCGCAAGGCAGATGTGCACATCCCCTTCACGAATGGAAAGTTAAAGAAAATCCACAGTTCTACGACTGTGAGCATGTAACCCCAACTATGGACCATGGAGTAAACCACTGTAGTCTGCACTCCGTTAACGTATGAACAGCAAAACTAAACAAACTCTCTCCCGAAGCCCTCTCGTCATGGCCAGCAGACCTCGGCATTGGCATTTGACTGCACGTATTTCCATGATACGCAACAATAGAACAGAATAAAAACCAGGACGAATACCGACAGGGGCACTGTGATGAAACACCAAGAGCGGTCACCAATGAATGTGAAGCGGTAACCAACACAGACACTGCCAGCGACACAAACGCAGACATTGACATGCAGACCAATGGCAGTCATCAAGGAAGAAGTAGAAACGGCAACCAGAACAGACACTGTCATGGTAATCATCAACATAGACACTCACACAGTCATCTACATAGACACTCACACAGTCATCTACATAGACACTGACACAGCCATCAACATAGACACTCACACAGTCATCTAAATAGACACTCACACAGTCATCTACATAGACACTCACACAGTCATCTACATAGACACTGACACAGCCATCAACATAGACACCCACACAGTCATCTAAATAGACACTCACACAGTCATCTACATAGACACTCACACAGTCATCTACATAGACACTGACGCAGCCATCAACATAGACATTCACAAAGTCATCTAAATAGACACTCACACAGGCATCTACATAGACACTGACACAGCCATCAACATAGACACTCACACAGTCATCTAAATAGACACTCACACAGTCATCTACATAGACACTGACACAGCCATCAACATAGACACCCACACAGTCATCTAAATAGACACTGACACAGTCATCTACATAGACACTGACACAGCCATCAACATAAACATTCACACAGTCATCTAAATAGACACTCACACAGTCATCTACATAGACACTGACACAGCCATCAACATAGACACCCACACAGTCATCTAAATAGACACTCACACAGTCATCTACATAGACACTGACACAGCCATCAACATATACACCCACACAGTCATCTAAATAGACACTCACACAGTCATCTACATAGACACTCACACAGTCATCAACATAGACACTCACACAGTCATCTACATAGACACTGACACAGCCATCAACATAGACACTCACACAGTCATCTAAATAGACACTCACACAGTCATCTACATAGACACTGACAGCCATCAACATAGACACCCACACAGTCATCTAAATAGACACTCACACAGTCATCTACATAGACACTAACACAGCCATCAACATAGACACCCACACAGTCATCTAAATAGACACTCACACAGTCATCTACATAGACACTGACACAGCCATCAACATAGACACCAACATAGCCATCAACACATACAACTCATAGTCATAAAAACGACACAGCTCTAAAAAGACATCGACACAGATATCAATAAAGATACTGCACCTGACTTTAACAGCCACAGGCACACAGTCTAAACGCCTGCGGAACGATTTTCCTACAATTGAAGGGATAGCTGAAATCAAGCGCGCTGTGGACTAACACTGACCAAAATTCCTTCTTCTACGCTCTCCATAATTTTGTGTGGCTGCAGTTACCCAGCCCAGCAGCGCAATCACACAAGCAAGGTTCCCGTCAGTATGGGGTTTCCACCTTGCGAGCTGTCTTGGAGAAAGAGCAACAATGCAGCATCAAGTCCGGCGTTAAATTGGGGGAAGTCACCCTCCGTAACTCCCTCCGAGTTACATTTGCCTCGGAGGGAGTTACGGAGGGTTACAGCAAATGCGACGAGGCTAAGTGAAAGACGTTGCTGCTGAAGACTTGCAATCACTCCCAGCAACATACCGGTGATGAAAGGGGACCCACAAGTATAAATCTTACAGCGGCACCACTCATGACACTTAAACCACAAACACCAACGGCCATAAACAACAACAACGACAATAACAACAACCGCCATTCGCCACACTAAGTGGCAGTGATGTCACCAAGGCATCTGTGAAAAACTGACTCCAACACCACCCACACAAACACCACCACCGTAGGTGGTTGCTCAGAATAGAAAGCAGTGGTGGGTAATTTCCCCGAGTCTGCAATATAAATAAGTGTGAACTAAGGAAGCATTTCACGTAAGAAATTGGATGCAACTAGCCGTACGACATTAATGGTCTGGGTTTAGCATCGAGACCCAAAGTTCCCAACACAGAACCGTGTTCACGGTAGCACTCTGCGGTGAGACAATTACAAAGGAAATCAGTCAGAATATTTGTTCATGCTGGAGGAATCCGATGAGCTATGAAGCTCTTTTCCGCATATGTCCAGTCGGGGCATGTCAGAACGTTACAGCAACAAACGATAGGAGTGAAAAGTATACAAAAGGTATAAACAATAAATTATAAAAATGCAAATAGAACTCCACTTTTTTTTATCAGGTAAAACCCACTGAGCTAAGGGCTTATATTTCAGAAGCGACCTGGCCACAAATGATAGCTGAAAGAAGTGGCTTACCACGCGGAAATTAATAGCAGCCAAATACTCTGATTAATCTAAAAGCATGCTTCTAAATGGGGGCTCATACGAATAAAAAACAAATTCCACATCGTACAATGACCTCCGTGCACAGCGCTTCACACACGGCGCTAACCAGCAACTCCACGTGCAGTAGAAGCGGTGGTGGTGGTGGTGGGGAGCGGTTAAATAATGGTTAGTTGCGCTGCGCTACGAACCCGGCGACGCGAGTTTGATTCCCGCCGCTCATGGCCAGCACCAGTGGCGATTATTTGAACCGGTCCTGGGCCTCCCCTAGGTCGACTCAGCCTCAAAAGTGTAGCAAGTGCGGTGTGTAAACATCGCCACGAGGGAGACAAAGGCGGCCGGGAGTGGCCCACGCTGGCCACCGAACCCCGTCGTGTGCCGTGTGCCGGCCTTCATGGTTGCTCGCTAACAGAACTTGCCCCAAAAGTCTGTTACAGGCGACACGGGGAGGGACCTTTGTCTTTTGGGGGGGCGGTGGGCACCTTGAGAGGGACGGAGCAGGTCCCGATGGGCAGCAGCGATCGGGCGTCCCACACGTCGATGTGCAGCCTGTGCAGGGCGAGGTAGTCGTAAAAGTAGCGCAGCTCTCCGGCCTTCATGGTGCCCGGATCCACCAAGTACTTCAGATGCAGTCCCGGAGAGCCTGCATTGCGACGTCAATATCACAACGGAAGGATAAGTGTGCCTGTTCACCTCTGTTGCTCGGATTTGTCATCACTCTCTTGGGTTTTCTGCGCAAGGGCTGGGGCACGACTCACAGCTTGCTCCATCCCATCTGATCCCACTCCCCCACCCGCTCCCTCCCCTCTCCAGCTCAACAACCCTGGCACTCTGCACCAGGGTTGGTGAGCCATAACTAAGGACATGAGGATGAGGTGTTTTTCTCTGACCTTCATAGCTGTTTATTTTTTCTTTCGGTGACACCATCACCATATGATGCCGTTTAACATCATAACCCAGGAGGGGCTGGTCAACAATCTTACGAATCGTTCCATCAATTCAGAGTCAAAGGGGCCCGACCGACAACCTTAGCGAAAGTTCGTTCCCGGATGATTTTTTTTGGTGAAAATTTCCGACGGCGAATCACCACGGCAATGCGTTTCTTTCGCTCAAATAATCACGTGCCTGCACTCGTCCCCACTTGTAGTCTCACGCCAGTGGAGGAAACGCCACGTTCGTACAGCAGGGACCAGCACCGCTCATTTGCCCTGATAAGATAATTCTTTTCAACGACCATGATCCCGAATCTGAGACCTCCGCATGACCACTCGCATGCTCTCATCACAGCCACATGCGACCGACATCGAATGACAAAACGCAGGAACACTGTATCTGTGATCATTGTTTTTTATTTCACACAATATTTATAATGGCATGCCCAGTTGGACTGGGCATGAGTCGAGTTTTTTTTTTTTTACGGTGACTCATTTTTCAAATCATGGTTGAACGAAAATCTATCCTGTGATGTTCATCCCGTAATGAAACTTAAGCCCCAAAACCAAATCACACTGGAATTTGTGTGTCCTGGAATACTTGAAAGCATGCTGCTTTGACTTAAGACGTTGATACAGACTGTGTTCATTCATACCAATTAAAGAGTCAATACCAATTAAGTCCAACAAGGCCTATTCCCCATGACCCTAGCCTGAACTCCATCCAATGGGAATGTCCATCACAAGCCCGTATCTGATGGCTATGCTTATAGGAAAGCGCAAGTTTCAGGTCGATATCGCCCACTCAAATCATGTGGCTAATCTGAGGCACGCTTCATCTCTGAAAACGTAAGGAGAAACGTACATATACACAAGCCTATGTCCGTGTGCATGTGTGGGTCTGTTGTTTCTAAATAGGTGCTCGCTAACAGCACTTGTCCCAACAGTCTGTTAAGGCTATACAGGGATCTTTGTCTTGTGGGGAGCGGTAGTGTAGCGGTTAGCGCGCTGCGCTACGAACCCGGCGACCTGAGTTCGATTCCCGCTCACGGCCAACACCACCAGTGACGATTATCTGAACCGGTCCTGGGCATCACCGAGGTCGACTCAGCCTCAAATGAGGACCTGGTGTGCTGTGTAAACATCGCTACTGGAGAGACAAAGGCAGCCAGGCGTGGAGCTGGCCACCCACCTCCTCATGTGCCGTTCCGGCGTTCATAGGTGCTCGCTAACAGCACTTGCCCCAAAAGTCTCTTAAGGCTATACAGGGGATCTTTGTATTTGTCTGCATGCAACCTTCAGCGCCCACAGAAGTTACCTAAGACCTTGTACGTACATTTGTTTTATTGCAGAATGCGTTAAGTTAATCAGCTTTGAGTTTCAATTCCGAGTTTGCGCACGATTGCCCCAACCTATCCACCTATGTAACATCCACCGTACTATTCCACCATTGCCGACCCCAGCTTGGGCCAGAGCTTCATAGGCTCATCGGTTGTTCCGGCTTAAGTCAAGTGTCTACTTCCATGACTTCAAACGGTTTGGCAACATTAAAGAAATCACTCCCATTTAGCAGTTATTCTTCATTCACTGCCAACTACTGGTTTTACAGTGCAGGTGATGCTTGACTTTCCTGAAAAGAACTTTAAAATCTGTTCCTTACTCTGGCATTAGAGGTTCCCCTTCAACACTGATACCTGGGTACCACCTCTTGGTAACCAGCCTTCCTGCAACCCGCACATGTGCTCCAATCAGTTGCTTTCAAATGTAACATATAGTACAGCCCTTTGCTAGGCCACTGCTGGATGAAGGCTAACCCGTGCCATGTTGGTTGTTTGACCATACTTCACCACGCCGGTCAGTGCGAGTCGGTGACGGGATGTTGCTGCGGGGAGCTCCACGACCAATTCAAATATCACTTGTCACCGACACTGGTGAGGAATCGAACTCGGGTCATAGGTTCTATGGCGCGGCGCGCAGATCACAAAGCCACCGTTCCACCCCAATTGTTGCTTTGCTCGTGCGTAAATAAACTAAATAAATACAACTTGGGCCCATTTAATAACAATCACAAATGCGTTCCACTCAGTGAAATGTAACCAGTGCAAAGGGCACGGGGCATACATACCTGCACTTTACGTCTTTCTGCCTCCCCAATTGGCACTCCCTCCCCCCCCCACTGAATTGAGAACGTTGTTAATATTGAACGTCAAACCCCGCGCGCCGTTAAGCGAGAGCGGCAACATGGCTGCCGTCGGTCGTTGCTCCTCTCCGTGCTGCCCCCCGCAAGCTGCCCCCCGCAAGCTGCCCCGCCAACTAAAGGCTGCTGCTTGGCCGCGACGAATGTCATGGCCAAGCAACGTCGCGCGACGCGGCGAGCCAGCGCGACCGCTGACAATGTCCGTTGAACGAAGTGGGGGCGAGGGTGGGGGTTAAAAAAGTTAAATAAAATGTAAGCATCAGAGGGCTCGTGCCTGCTCGCTGCTGATAAGCTGGGCGAGGAGGGTGAATGCCGTCCTGTGTAATGATCCAATCTCGGAAGGAAGGAGTTCTCTCCGTTCCATTATTAACGATGATTTATTCTTCAAATAATGTATCTCTTGTGCGTGAACCAGGTGCTGGGAGGGAGGGAAACACCAACCGTGTTTCCTGCCAACGAAATAATGTTCGGCAGACGAGCAGATGCGCGTGATGGGATGGGATTGGATTTTAACTCCTTTGTGCGGAAGGGAAGAGATCCATCCTGAGTTTTCTGGATTATTCGTGTCAAGGCCTCTCTGGTGGTTTTGAAATACCCAAGCGCACTGAAAAACCACCACTCATACAATTAACCGCACTGGACGTGCCTGACCTCCGCAAACCTGGAAATCACGAGCAGATTCGCTGCGTGCCAAGAAATGAACTCCGACGCAAGTATGGCACTTAATCAATGTGGCAATGATTCCCTACAATGTGTATGATTGCGTACAGAAAGCCTCTTTTTTCACCGAGTGAAATCTTAACGCAAGGAAATGCACCTTAGCCAACATCGGTATTCATTGTCATTCATATGTCTTTAATCATTATGAATCATTTGCAGCCCTATTATCGGTGATGTGGCCCAGAGGTTGCACGGTCGCCGCTTATTGTAAAGGTTCACGGTTCGAATCCAGTGGGCCTCGCTGATTAACACTATGGGTGTAATAACTGTGATAATACTACGTGCCCTTTTCTTCTCGGTGGACGTTAATCAGAATCAGAATGTTTATTGATCGTGGAGAAATCCGATGAGCTATGAAGCTCTTTTTCCACAGATGTCCAGTAGGATCTAGCAGTCCAGCAGTTAAAGATCCCCCTGACGTCACTCGCAAGAGTAGACCAATGTGTTTTTATCTGGTGATGGTGCAAATTTGGCCAGATTAAAAAATGTACTGCAATTTACACAATTGCAACTATACACAGCAATCTCCCATTAGCATGGTAACACCTCCCATTCGCATGGTTGGCTACTTACGGTGCGAAAGAAGTTCCACATACATACATACATAAGAGGTTTTTTGGGTTAGATCGCGGAGATATAAATGTCATTAAAACCAACACCACCTGACACAGCCAATTAGTAAGGTTTGTCACGTAAACAAAACGTTAAAATTCGTGACTAGCACAGCACACTGACCGAAACAGGAGGAATATTTCTCACAACCCTGACTATCGCCTGATGATGCTGGTTGTAATTACTGGCGAAACGTCGTACTCGAATTGTAAACGTTGTGGGTTTACTCTCGAAAACACCAGTGAGCTGTACTAGTGTAGAGGATGTTCGGGACATCCTCACACACACAACACAACACAACCACGGGTTAAGGGTCACGGGAGCGCATGCCGTGTATGACGCGCAATCCGATTATTATTGAGTGGAGGACACTCTGATCGGATTGACCCCAGAAGGATTAACAGAGTGGGGAAAACCTGAGAAGGACTGTCAATGGGGAGAAAACAGGGCGGGAGACGGGCTACATAAGGAAGATGAGTTGGAGGGTTTCGAGGTTGGTTTTCGATGATTGGTGGAAGTACGGTGTGAGTTGACGTGGAAACAAAGATCCTGCTTAACCATCTCAAATCTCCTCTTCGCTAGTAAGGATTTGGCATGTTCTGTTTATGTGACAAAGCTTACTAATTGGCTGTGTCGGGTTGTGGTGGGTTTAACGACACATTAATATCTACGCGATCCAGCCCAAAAAAATCTATATTATGGATATTGGTCACGAAACCTTACTACGTGCTAAACATAGGTACGCACAATCATCCCCCCCACTTCTGGCAGACTAATGCCCCCAATCACCCTTGTAAGAGACACTCATCTTGGTCTCTTGAGTTCTCACCTTGTTTAACATAGTCAACTTGAACTTTGTCAATCCACAGACAGATGAAGGCATGTCAGTCATGGGGGTTATCTAACCATAACCCATCAAGGTGGCCAGCATTAGATGGAAAACGTTGGAGTTGGGGGTGCATGACCGGTTATAGTGGTGTATACAACCACATTTGCCATTGTGATTTGTAACTTTCATCCTTATTCATGTGTCGATAGTTCAAGTTTAACATGCAATTTTATTGAGGGCCTGTGCATTGTTTGGTGTGGTCTGGGACTGTTTTTGTTTCGGTTTTGCTGCTGTGCCAAAGATTGCATTTGGTATTCTTGGTTCCTTCGGTAAAGTCACGTAGAAGGGAAACAATAAAATAATAATATTCGTATATTTTTATTATTTTATTGTTTCCGTTCTACGTGACTTTACCGCAAGAACCAAGAATATGAATCCCTGCAGTCACGAAAGCTTTAAATCAAAATTGCATTTGATGTTGAAAATCGACGTGAATTGATGTACTTACACACTTTCTTTATTTATATTCAGTGACTTGTTTCGCTTTCCTATACTTTGCACTCCTCTTGTGTTTTTTGTACTGTTTGTCTTTGCAACTTTCTGACCCGCCCGTACTGGACGTGTGTGAAAAAATTAGACCTTCAGAGCTCATCGGACTCTTCCAGCAAAAAAATATATTCCGAATCTGCTATCACTTGCCATTTACTTTAGACACGGCTGGGAACCGAACTCAGGTCACCATGATCATTGCCCAGTGCTTTACCCGATCCCCTCCCTCATATCCGTTATTTACGTTATTTACGGATATCCGTTATTTACGGATATGAGGGAGGGGATGGATATTTAGGTGAAAAACAAAGAGTAGAGACGAACACAGGCACAGGAGAGACAGTTAAGAGTTCGGCAGAAATCAAGCAGCTGAGGTGCAAACATAGTTCAACTCAATAGCGCAACAATGCGACTTTCATGGAAAACTTCAGTGTAGATATGAACTTACACAACAGCAGCTTACAAAAATAATTTAACTTGCTAGAAAAAACTGTTACGTGCACTGTACGTATTTGTGATCCTGAAAAGCAGGGGGGGGGGGGAGGTGCAAAGACAGAACCGACACGTAAAATTTCACCTTTCACACTCGGTGATTCAATTTGAGAAATTAAAACCCAGGGTAGGGGTTGTTAAATGAGGTGCGGACGCAATGTCATTCCGTACAGAGCAGAGGCATCTCACCCCGATAACACGTAATATTGGGGCAGGCAATTAGGTCACGGGAGGTGGGGGAGTAACAATGAGTCATTGGTTGAGCATCACGTTTTTGAAAGTGTGACTTTGGATCTGAAAAGACTCTCAGAGGCAAACGCTAAAAAAAAAAAACCCCCACCCACGCGTCGATACGACAGGCGTTAAATGGTAATTGTGATACCACGTTTCGAGACATTCGCTTCGGTCAAAGGGATACTTAGACAACAACGAAAACTGGTAGGATATGGGGAGGTCAAGTTGGTCATCTCGGCAATATTTGGTCCAATGGGGGCGGGAATGTAGGGCACGAGAGGGTCGGGAGGCAACGGGAAGAGTTGGTCTTTCTATGCGACGGTTTTTGGGCCGCAAGTACATTCATTCAGACATATGGGCAATGCTTGAGCCACAGGAGTGGTGTTGGGCCATGTCGGTGGTAAATGTACCACAAGGGTGGAAAAATGAGCCACGGAGTGGAGTCGTGTCACCGTGATGATGGACGGATGACAAGTGTCGTAGCTGGGCCACAGACAGGGGCGGTAGTTGAACCAAATGAAAAAAATCGTGCCATGGGGGAGTATTTGGCCCGCCATGGCAGTGGTTGAGCCATTTAGTTGGTAGCGAGGGCTTAGGGAGCGGCAATTGCGTGAAAGAGGTGGCCGTTGTGTGGGCCACAGTAAAAGTCAGGAGGTCAGGAGGCATTATCTGCGCCGCATGCGCTAAGCGAGGCAGCGGTGAGTCCACAGGGCCAGTAATACAATCGCTCGGTCACAGGGGGCAGCCAGCGATCTGCTGGGTGGGCGGTGAGCCACCGCCGCCTGCCGCTGTTTACCTTTGAGCGGAACCCCGTCGGGGCCCAGAGGCAGCAGAAGGGTGGGCTCGTCCCATCGGGCGTGAGCAGGCACCTCCGAGAGGGCCAGAGCACGCGTGGCGGCCGGTGGGAAGCGGTAGAAGCGCAGCGTGAAGTAGACGGACGCGGGCGCACGGGTGACGCTGCCGCCCCGTCCCCCGCCACCGCGTCCTGACGCTCTGTTGGGAGTCGAGTCAGCGGGACGCCGAAAATGAAAGCACCAGATGGTTAGGAAAGACGGCACGGGGTTGCGTTTTTTGTTTGTTAACACGTTCATTTTAATCATTGATGTTCTTGGTTAAAAACAGCCACCTACGTACATCAAACTCAGTGCAAGGAAGCTGTATCGATCACGCATTGAAGTTTTTTTTTTTTTAACACTAGTCATCAATACATCACTGTGGGCTTGCTCTCTGATGAGATAAGGAGGATATGTATAGGTCCCTTATTATAGACCTACCGGATGCAATGATGCAATTTATAATTGAGTCAGTCGCACGATCGGTGGTTGTTAGCGATCGTTATCACGGCGAGGTGAAAGTTAAGTGTGCTATTGATGCGTTCCTGACCATCAGCTTTATCACTTTTATTTTCTGTGTCTGTATCTGTTATCGCATTCATAGTTATCATGATAATGACCAGCATCGTCATGGTTTTAACTAGCGTCACAATCATCATCATCATCATCATTTGCATTCTTAATCATCAGCATCATCATCGTAATAATCAATATAATTATCAGCACCATCCTTATCTTTAGATAAAAAATAGCACCATATGCATTATTATCAAGATTCACCATGGTCATCAGCATAATCAAAATCATGAATCACATACAATAATTTCAAACGTGAACTGTAATTCTCATAATTTCAGTGACATATGCTAAAGTGTGAGTCATTTGGGAAACCAAATTCAGCACTAAGGTTAAAAGACAATTTGATCTCACCCAATTGATTGGATTGACAGATGCCCTTTATTAAACACGGTGAGAGACCGATGAGATTCAATATCTCCCTTAACAAAGATGACTTGGGTGACCCGGGGTTATGTAGGGACAGTGGTTAACGTCACACAAATTACGCGCACAAACGCTTACAAAAATAGGAGTTTTGGTTGTAATGCCAGCACAGGGAGGTTGGCTGCGTACGCTTGCAAACAATGTCGCCTGGCCTGCAATGGCCACTTAACCGGACATGGTGCACTCTGGTAATTTTCGAGGAAATAACTGGGTAAGTATCGTGAGAATTGAGGGGGTTGTGGTGGGGTGGGGGGCGATCGCACAGTGGTTAGAACAATACGCTACAAACCCGGTGACCTGCATTACGATTCCCGCCTACGTACAATATTGAATAGCAGAGGGGTATTTGAAATGATCCGTAGGCGTCACCACCGCCACCACCATCACAGATAGTCCTGTGATGTCAATATCCTTCAAAGGACGTGATGATGCTCTTCTTGACTGAAGGAGTACCAGTTGGGTGTTGCTTCGTCTCGTGGCACAACTGGTAAACAATTCATTAAAGGAGGGCACAGTGGGTTCATGCACTGATAAAACCTACGCATTCGTAAAAATCGTAATTAATTTTCTAAGTGCACGCATGTGAGCCCACTGAGAGATGGTAGGAATAAATGTAAATTGCACGTGATTTTTCACCAACCCCCTGCCACACTGACCAGCGTGGTGAAGCGTGGCTCAACAAACCCCCACGACCGACAATGCGTGGCAAGGCCTTCGTCCTGCAATGGGTCTTATACATATAAAGTGAGAAGTTGAGCACCGGTTCTTTTCAAACTGGCCCAGTGGTGAGTGTCCCGACTGCCAGGTGCCCGCAACTGCGGTGTAATTGCAGGTTCAAGGATGAATAAATTAATATAACTTATTAACAATCACGGTAATCGCCATCGAATCACACGTGGTAAGAATCACATTTTTTTTTTTAGACCCGTATTTCGTAAATGCAATGACGCTGTATTGAATAGTTGTCATACATTCAAAGAACGTTATGGTTTGTTCATAATGCTTGGATAAAATTGTGACCCAATTCATGAAATCGCCTTCGGAGGGCAGCACAGGTGGGGCACACGGTGAATTGTTACATCAGGAGTGGATACACTGGGCCGCTGAGTTTCTGTGTTCAAAATGGGTTGCGTGAAGACTGCCAGATGCCCCAGCTGCAGGGACATTTCAGCCTACTTTTTGCTTCACTGAACGCGCAGGCTGTGGCATGGCATACATACATACGATCATATTCGTGTGTATAGCAATATAATCATTATTATTACTGCTCCTACTACTATGCTTATTTACCCATGAAAGCCTTACTGAGGTTTCAAGAATCTGGTTTCAGAATGGTCCTGCCAAATTTTCGCAATACAGGGCGCAATGTTGCTGCTACTTGTCACCCCAATTGAGTAATTTGGTAAATTTTCAGCATTGTGATGCTTGGCCAATGCCAGTTACGTTGTCTTTTTGTTTTGCTATGGGAAAAATAAAAAATAAATGAGAATCCGGAGGAACAGGATTATAACTCCACGGAGGAAGGTGCCTGTGTCGGCAATCAGACCCAAGTCCTCTACTTGCTGCAAGGCACAAGCGTTACCACTTGCAAACCGACTTTCTCTACCGCCATCTCTTGGCTACCTAGTAGCCCAGCAGGCCAGAACTTTCACGACAATAAAGACGACATTGGGGACATCCTAAAATACGCATTAATTCTATTTTAAAGTACGGTACTATGTTCAGAAGCTAAATGCCAATGTCCAGGGCTGCTCGCTCCTACATGGCTTCAGGAGAGAGTTCATGTAGTTTTACGATTTCTCTTCTGAAGAAACAGTGGAGATTGGCTTGCAATATAACGATTTCCAACATGCGTTTGTCTTTGACGGGTAGCTGGGCAAACACGCTTCCATATTTTGCCCCTGGTTTACCTTTTCAAGTTCTGGGCAACCCTTTGTTCAATTCCGCCGGGTTTCAATTTGATGACTTCTGAATAGCATCGCAACTTTGTACTGAAATTTGGAGAGGGAGATGGCAGACTTCACGCAGTCCACACTGGTAATTGAGAAATCACGACGAATGCTTTCAACACGGCGACCGAACATCAATCATCGATCTCCCGGTCTTCAGAGCATCAACACAAGCCACGCCAATGGTTCCTCTTCATGGCCAAACAATGGGCCAGATAGCCCCTGGGACAACGGTCCTCCAACTGAACATTGGGGTACACTCCCGAGCAAAGTGCGAGTATCTCGCGAACGTAATAAAACATCAAAGCGATACACCCCGCTACTCCTCACGCGGTTATCTGGCTTGACCACCTGAACGTGAAATCGTAGTTGTTGCTCTCGATACGAAAGAAGAAGACTGAAGCTTTGTTCACACTGGATCCTTACTACTTGAGTCAATGTGGCCCCCACGTTACGGACAGGCAGAGAGGCAGACACAGACGGGCGGAGCGCCAGCACCTGCTGAAGGCCACGAACTGCAGCACGATCTCGTTGCCCTTCAGAGGGTCGGCCTCCTCCCGCATGAGGTCAAAGGCGACAGGGTCGCCTGGGTCCACCATGTCAGCGATGCGGCCGTGGATGTCGCGGATTTCCAGGAGGCCGGCAGCAGTGTGGAGGCGTGCGAAGGCCGCGCGTGACAGTGTCGACAAGAAGCTACGGGGGCAGCAGCAGCAGCAGGAGCAGCAGCAGCAGGAGCAGCAGCAGGAGCAGCAGCAGCAGCAGCAGAGCAGACAGCGATTTAGCGCACGTGTATGTATGTATGTACGTTCAGCTTCTTTTGTACCATAGGTAGCCAACCGTGCTAATCGGAGGTGTGTGTGTGGGAAGGGGGGGGAAGGACAACAAACTAAACACAAAAAGCAGTTCTAAAGAAATGAGTTTTCAATCGAGACTTAAAAGAGCATAGAATTTATATTCTTGGTTCTTCCGGTAAAGTCGCGTAGATAGAAAATAGAAAATTAAAAAATAACAATATAAAAGTAATAAATTTCAAATAATAAAAGCAAAAAAAACACAATAAAAAATTTAAAAATACAGTAAAATTAAAAATAAATAGAAAATATGTGAATTTACCGAAAGAACCAAAAATATGAATTCCTGCAGTCACGAAAGTTTTAAGTCAGCATAGCTCCAGTGCCCGTAAGCTTTCGTCACGCACCTCCGCTGCGGGGGGGGGGGGGGGGGGGGGGCGAAGGGGGAGGGGGGCACGGGGGCGGCGCGCCGAGTGGCGGGGGAGCGGCTCACCTGGTGGGGAGTCCGCCGCCGGGCGCCAGGATGAGGGCATCCACCGGAGTCACGGGTCTGCCGCGGAGCTGCTCGGGCGACGCCTCGTCCGCGTCCACGATGGTCCTTCTCACGCCGCTGCCCTGCAGAGGATTTACAGGAACCCGGAGTTAGCTGTAGGATACGGCACGTCCCGCATCTCCAGTTAGCACGGTTGGCTGCGTACGGTGCGAAATAAGTTCAACATACGGACATACATTTCAACGTCGACTGCGTTTACTGCGAAGCAGATGGTGCGTACGAACGGTTAATACTCTCGCGCATTATTAACCAGGGTGACCTCGGGGCTCGAACCGCGAACCTCTGGCGCTACCGCTGGCCCACGTCACCGCCACCGTATATAATACGTACATAAATGTCGCAAGCAGAGAGGAAGCACTGCCGTGGAGGCAATCCTGTAGCGTGGTATTGTTTAAAACAGGAGAGGGTGGGGGGGGTGGTAGGGGAGAGGGTGGAGTTCTAGAAACCCCCAGCTGGTGGCCCCACGATGGTACACAGCTGCAGGGAGGAGACAGAGAGACAGGCCAGGAAGGAGGTGGTTCTAAGTGGTCAACCACTGGGGTACGAATGACCGTGGAGTGAATGTGGAGAAGGCCGAGTACAGGAATGATTGGAGAGAAAGGTGGGGGACCAGGTAGGCAGACACTACAGGAAGATATTTAGGTCGTGGCATTGACTGCAACAGTTGAGCAGAGGAGTCAATTCGGTGACCGTGCTTCGGTTACCACTCAGTGCGATGATTTGACTTGATAGACCTCAGCCAGTGGTTAGTAATTTATCATCCTATAGCAGGCGCGTAGTCTTTAATCAATTAACGCAGCGACCATTTCTGACCTCCAACCCAACAGCGTAGCCTCACCAGGTCGTATTAGTTTGAGAAACATGGTGCTCATGATTCCGATGATGATAACATTGATGATACCAAAGCCAACCCTGCCCTGAATTAGAACTGCTGGCTACCAAATGAGCTGTAACCATTTCTAATAGGCGTTACTCATTTAAGTCGAGTGCACTCAGACATTAATTTTTAATAGGGACAAATGGATAAAAATACAGGGTTGTAACGAAATGAAGTGTAAAGGGTAATTATATTGGAGGGGGAAAAATATCATGAAAAAACGATAGCAAATTAAAATTACATTTAAAAATGGATTCAAGCGTGTGGTGTCCGGGTACCCCAGAGGTCACAGAGATCAAAAACGGACAACCACCTGTGGATGGACCCCGGTTCTTAACTACAAATTCAAAATGAAGGCCTAAACCCAGTCACCAATGACTACAAAAGAACCCCAATCGCACTAAATGCAGGATTTTCAATGAATTTGGCTAAATTCCACATCTGAAAAATTGGTTTGACCACCAAGCGATGAACATCTTGACACTGAATTATTTGGTGGTCATGCCAGCCGCCATCGCTGCTGCTGCGTTGGCACTGGTACAACAAGCAAAATCATAAGATTAGTAAAAAATAAAAACTCAAACCAGTGGTCAATAAATACTGTGGCCCTGAAGGCAACATATATAGAAGGGGTGACGTTTTGAGCAACGGCCTTTATTCATAGCACATGAACAAAGAAGGATCCTTGCCTGACACGTTGGCTAATATACGTTTTTCCTTTTAAGGCCACAGTGTTTTATTGACAAATGTTGAGTTTAAGTTTGTTTTTAATCTTTACAGCAGGCTGTATGAGAAAGTGCAGATGGCCAAAACGTTACTTGAATTGATTCCCTCAGGAGTAGTTCTGTGATATCACCTTCCACAGGCCGTTTTTAACATGGGGTGATGTAGTACTCTGTGAGATTTCCGAATGGGCGTTTTTCTCCATCTCATGATATCCCACCGATAGCACAATTGGATCGATATGACAAAAGCAAAAACATGTTAAAAGTCATGGCCATGAATTTAAAATCACATGAACAATTTCAATATTTTCTAATTGCCAATAGCACACATGAATTAAAAACCAGCGATGCAATAGTTAGTGGGTCACCTGCATTAATAATCTGCATGCACACCCACCAATCAACCAATCAGATTGTTAATACCCAATAGACTAAGCTCAGAAATTTGGACAACATGCATTCGCTATTTCCTGCCAAAATCCACACTAACTAGCTTCTTTTTATATTCTTGGTTCTTTCGGTAAAGTCACGTTGAAGGGAAACAATAAAATAATCAAATATATATAAAACAATAAAATTCTCACGACGTTTCGACTGTAACACAGTCATCATCAGGTGTGAAAACCAACTTTTCTTGCCGTTGGTTTTCAAACCTGATGATGACTGTTTGTGTTACAGTCGAAACGTCGTGAGAATTTTATTGTTTTATATATATTTGATTATTTTATTGTTTCCCTTCAACGTGACTTTACCGAAAGAACCAAGAATATGAATCACTGCAGTCACGAATGCTTTAAATCAAAATTTAGCGTCTTTTTGTTCAATAAAACGAGCAACCCCACATGTACGCGTTGTGCACCAGTCATTCCATAGTTTGATACTTTAGATCACTTCATTTTCATTATTATGACAATACAACAATCAATGCCTTTGTCAATCCACTGCTGGATGAAGGCCTCCCCAAGTCAAATCAGTAATGAGGGAGATGTTTGACCATACTTCACTGCACTGGCCAGTGCTGGTCATTGAAGGAGCGACCCCTATACTGGTTCAGGAATGGTTCACACCCACGGCTAATGCCACCAATAATTATAATTAGCTATGGCCGAGAATCAAACTCAGGCGAGCCGGTTCATAGTCCAGTGAACTGACTACAGCATCACCGCTGAACCCCCTAGATGATCACTATTACACTGAAACCCTGACAGTGCACTACGCAACACTTCGTCGATTAAATGCGTGCGGAAATAACAAGAACACGTCACTATCCACAAGGGAAGGCAGCTGTGTGCTGCAATCCACGGCCGAATATTAACATTTTATGAAAGTGCTCATATGCCATGTTGTCACGTGTGCGGGTCCTGTGAGCACACAACTGATCGAAGGAGACACTTGGCGTGGCGATGGGGACAATTACACAATTCTCCGTGTGTATATACAGATGTACGTAAAATAGAATTTTACATCAGTTGTTCTGCTTGTACAAACTAAATGCCAGTCAGGGCTTACAAAAGCAATCTCCTTTATATAAATATATAAAAAAATAACCCGAATGCGCATACATGTTTATTTTTGTTGCATACGAGCAAAGTAAACACAATTGGAATTGACATGGTGTTGTGTCTATGTTGTGCTCGTTTAATCTCCCCCGTGTAAACCACTGAATAGCGACTGCTGCTGCTGCTGCTGCCACCATTCCTCATCTCAGTCAGTCACTCACTAACAAATGTTCATACCCACAAACAAAGACTCCCGTATTGCCCTTGCTAGACCGTTGGGGCAAGTGCGGTGAGCAGGCGCCTAATAAGGCTGGCGCGGCACACGAGTGAGTCGTGTGGCCAGAGCCGCACCCCACCACCTTTGTCTCTCCAGTGCTATTGTTTACACACCACACGAGGCACAGTACTCAATTAAGGCGAGTCGATTTCGGAGAGGCCCAGTTCAAGTATTCGCCACTGATGTTGGCTATGAGCAGGCATTGAACTCTGGTCGTCGTGTTAAATGCACAGGGCGCTAACCGCTACACTACTGCTCCAAATAAAAAGACAAAGATGCCCCGTAAAGCCGTAACAGACTGTTGGGGTAAGTGTTGTGAGTGAGCACCTATGAAGGCCGGCACGGCAAATGAGGGGGTGGGTACTCTTTGGTCCTTTTGGTAAAGTCACGTAGGTATAACAATTTATTTTATTTTTATACCCAAGTGACTTTACCGAAAGAACCAAAAAGTATGGATCCCTGCAGTCACGAAAACTTCAAATCTAGAGGGGGTGGGTGACCAGCGTCACACCAGGCCTCCTCTGTCTCCCTAGTGACGATGATTACAAACCGCACCAGGCACTCATTTGAGGCCGAGTCGACTTAGGGGGAGCCCAGGACCTGTTCAGATAATCGTCACTTGGTGTTAATCCGGTCGCCAGGTTAAAAGCGCAGGGCGCTAACTGCTACACTACCTCTCCTCATACTCTCACACACACACACATACAGAGAGACGTAACATGCACCTAGAAACACCCCGCATCCCAAGCTGCTGCCCTCCACTAGCTCCGGCTCCAGCCCTGGATTCAAGTTCAAGACCGACCTCATCGTTTTAAAGCTCCTCCATGGACTCTGCCCTCTCCTGCCTCTCCCCTCTCATCGCTCTTCAATTCCTCTGATTTTGCTCTCCAGTTCAAGTGCTCAGTCAACCCTAGCCGAGTGTGACGTCGCTCCTTCTTCTCTGCTGCTCCCATTGTGTGGAACATATTCTCCCCAGCCATCTGTTCCATCGACCCCCCTGTCCATGTTCCAGTCCTTGCTTAAACGTTCTTCTCAGCTTAACAGGCAGTAGGAGGCCTTTTAGACCAATATTATCCACAACGTAAGGTTTTGGGTTAGGTCGCATAAATATAAATGTGCCGTTAAACACGCCACCACCTGACACAACCAATAAGTAAGGTTTTTTTTTTTTTACGTAAACAAAACAATTCGTTACTAGTTCAGCACAGCGGTGTGTTGGAGAGCAAACCCACGAATCGGCATGTTTTGTTCGTGACAAACCTTACTAGTTCCTACTCTCATTTGCTAATGACCGTCTCTTCCCGGTAAATTTATATTAGACGCTTACTTTTTTTTCTCCATGATGCTCACGTCCCACTACTTTACATAGAATCTTGAGATTCCCACTACTCGGATGCCCACCTTCACCAACCCGCACTGCCCGGTGGGGTGAAATACGGTCAAATAACACCCACGAGCCACGTGGCATGAGGAGGCCCCCATCCACAAAAAATGAATGATATGCCCTCATTGCTTTTTTGTGTTCAGTTATTCGTCCTGCTCACGCACCTCCGATTGGCACGGTTGGCTGCGTGCTATGCTAAAGAAGTTTAACATACATCCATTGAACAAAAAACGTCTGTGCATCCATCATCGTCATTAATCATCCCTTGTGAGACTCCGTGGCATCTGCGATGAACACCTTCAATTTGCTCCGGTCTGTTGCCGTTCTTCCTTCTGCTACCACCACTATCAACTTCCGTATTTTATTTGATGACGGTTTCCGATTGTTTTTATGTCCACTCTCTACATCTTTTCCCATTGCGCTTCTCTTTCGTTGGTGTCTAGGCTACTGCTGCTTCTTCACAACAATACCGAGAGTACCTGCATACATTCTATACAATTCCCGAGCCCTTATTTTAAAAATCTTTTTCGTATTATTACAATTCTGGAATCAATTGATTCTTTCATTTGAATTGCAATCCTAAATCAAGACAATTAAATTAGAGGGGGGGGGGGGGAGATATTGGGGTAAATTGAAACACTGTGAATAGGCAAGTAATTATGCATCTATTCATCGATTAAAAGCAAATCTGGCGCTAATGACACATGCATTGAATTACGTGAGTGGGAAAATCAATAATTACAATGTGCTCGTGTTATAGCTAAGTTAATGAACCTAATGGGGTGTGGGGGAGGGATAATTAATAATTACACCCGTTATATCTATTACTGGAATTACATTATATAAAGGGAGCGAATGAATCTGGAAGGCGAGGGATCTCTGCGCAAAATACGGCCAGGGGACCAGCGAGAAGCAGGAGTAGCGGCAGAAGCGGCGGTGGCGGCCGGGCACGAAATCCCGGCAGACGGATTCACTGCTGACGGGAGCTCAGGGACTGATGTCACGGTGGAAGAGGAGGGGGGGCGGGGTAGTCAGAGAGGACCGTGGTTGCCAGGGGCAACTGCATCGAGAGGGCTGAGTGAGTATCGCTTGGCCGGCTAGAAGTGAGAGAACGGAGAGAGCAAGAGGAGCTCCAGTCAAGAGGGGCACAGTGAAGTGAACTGCGCACACACGTCCAGAAGGCGAGTGAGTGCTTGGCTCAGGTGGGGGTGGGGGGGGTGGCCTTCATAGTTTCCACGTTACAGCAGTGAGCCGGCACGGGTGTAATGCGGACTCATGCCAGAAATTGCTGGACGGTGGTGCTGACAAAGAAATAGTTCTCACCTGGGCCAGCGACTCGTGATTCAACAGTGGTTGTGAGCGGTTGTAGTCCAGCGCTTAGGAGGTTGGGTTCGTCGATGTATGTACGCTGAACTTCCTTCGCACCGTACATAGGCGACCGTGCTAATCGGAGATCATATGATCATCATCGCATGCATGAGATGCCTATGCTTCACGCCAATGAGCTGGCATATATATGACAGTCCAGCAAGTAAGGTGAGATTTTCAAAATGCTAAATTTTTTTGGAAGACTAGGAGACAAGAACATTTAAATAAATTGCTTGTTGGTGACACCTATCAATGGATGGCTGAATTACAATATTACGTTGATGATTCATAACATTTACTACTGGAGATGTATTGGAAATAAAATGTTTGTCCATGATCCCACTTTTAACTCAAGAACCAAAAGTGGAAGCATCAGTATGAGCCCCTGCGTACCGCAGCCTTCTTGTGTACACGGCTCAAGCTACTGGCATAAACGTGCGATAAATAAATGAAATCTCACCACCTGCGCATGTAAAGTAGATACAAGCGACTACATCAACAATGAAAATAATAAATCATAACAAAGAACAAAAGGCCATCATATACCAAATTGTAATATATCCCACAATTGCATGTTTTACGTATGACTGAGTAACTGTGGTTACCTAGCTTACGAATTTTCGTGTCTCGCATGCAAAATGTGATCAATCAGGTGTTCCAAGTACTACCCAGACTTGATCGGATTTGGTATATTCAGGGCGATGGGGTCATATAACGAAGCTCAATGCGCCATCATCGAGTGGTTAAATAAAGGACATTAACCAAAAGAGGTGGCGAATTTCAACAAACTCTCATCCGGTTGACTAAAGGGCACCAATGCACAAATCAATCGATCAAAAAGCATCCCATAATTTTCCTTTCAAGCGCTACGCCTAATCAACTCTCGGGCACCATTATTTAACTTGTTTCACGCGGTGCATCCTGCCCAAGTTGCCTCCCCTTCATTGGCGCGCCGCACCGCACCGCGCCGCAACGCAACCGCGGGCGTTCACCAACGTGAAATTAAAGGCGCTCACGGGCGGCCCTTAGCGCGAGCGGTGGAGGGCAGGTAACGGCGCAATTATCAGAACGCGTCGACACGGCACGAGCTCGCCGACAGCCCGGACGTTTTAATCCGCCGCCAGGGGAGTGACGCACAGGGGGAGAGCGTTGCCGCCGGCCGACAGGCCCTCATTTGGATGCCACCGTCAGCCCCCGTGGCCCCAAGGGCGCTTCGGTTTGGTGCCCTCTGCGTCACCTTTCCCCTTGCGTCCGCTCCGCCGTGGGGGAAGGCGACTTGGCGAGGGAGGTGACCGCGTGACAAAGTTTCACGTCTATTTTTGCGTTTATTTTATCGGTGTTTCCACGATTTACATGGGACACCTGCGCGCGCCAATTGGGTCTCTCGACTGGGTTTTTCAACTGGCCAGCCCGTGGGCCGCATCTGGCTCGCGAAGGTCTGCCGAGCCATGGCCTGCCGAGCAATGGATCACCAAGACGTTAAAAGCAACACATTGCCGAGATGAAAGAGTGATGCTCAAGTGGGACGAGGAGAGACCTGGCGACAAGGGATAAGAGCGCAGCAGTCACACGTCCAGACGTCGTGACATCGTGAGATGCCGTAATGTCTGGACGTGACTTACGATGTCACAAAGTTCACCAGCACACTCTAGTTTATTACGTGGCTCGCCAGATAATACAACTCAAGGACCCTGTTCCTACTGTTAAAGATGTTCACAGCTCATTACGCTGTTTGAAGTGTTTTCCCTGCATCTTTCTAAGGGTTACTTAAAAAAGAAACGTACGGCTTTGTTCAGGTTCTCACCTGGTTATGCACAGCCTTTGGTTAAATCGTTGACTTGTAAGCTATCAAGTGTCCACACGTGAAAAAAACTAGGCCATCGCTTGCCAAGGTCGTGAGGAGTCAAATCTCGACGAGACAGAAAAGACGAAAGCACCTTTGACGCGTGCGGCGTTTTGATCGTCTCAGCCTGGTAACTAATGCTGTAAGAAAAATAGCTCATGATTCAAGAGGTTCAGCTCTGATGGCTGTGATTTGTAAAACACGTGTAAGATGATTGACGCGTGTCCAACGAATTCTCATACTGATTTCAGCTGGGGTAAGGGTGGCTTAGGAAAAGACGACCATTGATTGGTATCCTATTTAATCCAGGTTATGGGCAACTTCAAAAGAAGAGTCATAACTATATTTTTTGTGGAGTCAAATTCCCAGCCTGTTCTCTTGCATGGTGACATGCGGCTTTGCCTAAAGGTTTTCACCTGCCTTGATGCTTGGCTTGCAATAGCACAATCGCAATAATAAGTTCGTCAAAATATGTATTTAAAAGGCATAAGCAAATTCCAGGAAACACAACAAATTTCTGCACATTTTCAAACGTCAGAGGGTCGGCTGTTGCACTTTCTGTATTTTTGATTCGTAAAAACCCCCCTCATGGTTGTTGGAAAAAGTCTTAAAAATTTAAAAGGTAAATCTAAAAAAACATCAACTTGCTCCCGGCAAACGTTTTTCTCACCATGTGATCTGGAGTGGACACCGCGTTGGCCACGTGCCGTGACTCCGCGTGACCTGGACAACGCACACAGAAAAGATGAACGTACACGTTGTTTTAATTATGCATCCTTTTCGTCCAACAATGGAACCGCGGCGACGAGCGGTTTTCAATATCGTGCACGCATAGCCATACACAGCGATGCGGCCTGAATAATAGTTACTGTCTGAGAGGTAGAACGAGAAGTGAACTCATTTGCAGAATTTCCCGGAAGAAGCCCTTTGGGTGTGCGTCGGAAGGCTGTTACGTGCCGTCTAGACATGTGCTCCCATACTTGACTCGTATATATGCATACGCCTATCCACCTATCATCCATCACGCCACTTCGTACCGCTGTTGGCGGTGGCAGCGTGCAAGCACTAATAACATAAAAACTACTCGACACTTTTGTCAATAACACTGCGGCCTTAAAGGAAAATGTGTACAATGGATGACGTTTCGGGTAATGACCCTTCTTCAACTGCGGTGAAGTACCCCGTTGCCCAAAACGTCGCCTACTATATATACCGAATAAATACTCTTTGCCGATTCTCTGTTTGCTTACGTACCGGCGGTGTAAGGACTGCATCGATTCGTCGATTCAAATAATGTTTTACATTCATGATCCACGCATGAAAGTGCAAGCAAGAATGATTATTTACAGTTTTGTATTTCTTATATGCAATGGGTCAGCAAGACACCTGCTGTCACGAGATGCCACTAGATTCGATCCTTGCATCAAATCACGACCACAAATTGCTACGAATCACCTTGCAGGCTTATATTAAATCCTTGATGATAATCGTGAATTAAAATAGAATTCGCAACGTGCACAGTATTTGCTCAATCTCAGAGGCGGAGGATGATTCAGAGGCGCGTGGAGATGACAGACAAGCGGGAAGGCAGAGCCAACAATTGCCCAAGCTCTGTGGCCCTATATTGGGGTGTTTATGTTGGTGGGAACTGGAGCAGCTTGCGAAAAACACAAGCGTGCGAGGGGGGTAACATTCAATCCCCATTAAAACTAAAAACTGAACTATTTTTTTTATTGTACAAGGTAGGGCCCACTGAGCTATATAGCTCTTTTTAGAAGTGACCTGGCCACAAGTAACAGCTCAACCAAGTGGCGTGTCGTCATGTGGAAATTTATAGCAGCCAAACACTCTAAAACGCACGTGTCTAAATGTGGAGGGAAAAACCCGAAGGACCTGGAGAAAAATCCATGCGACCACAAGGAGAACACACAACTTACACATATGCAGGCATCAGGGTTTAGATCGAACCCACAACCTCCTATATACCAGGCGAGGTAGTTAACAGCTCGCCACCGTGGCGCCCATTTCGCGCTCACGGGTAGGGAGTGTCACGAATGTGTACGTGACCCACCAACCCTCGCTACCTTCACAGTGCCGGGTTACAGGCCATGGTGCAGTGTCACAACCAGCACGGGCAGCAGGCTGGCTGTGAACGCTGCAGTTAAATTCACACCAAATAAAAATAATAATAAACGCCCGCAAGGCCCAGAAGGGATCATGCGAATCCAACACGAGCCATACGTCGCCATATAACAAGCGGCGGGCCTTATAAGGCGCAGGAGCTGGCACATAATGTGAGGGTTCATACGGTCACCACAAACACATGGCCCGCAATCTTCGCTGTAAAAGGCCGAGTCACTGACACCACGCTGCGAATAACTTTGAAATCCCACGATCCCTTGCGGGGCCCTTATACGTTGCGAGTATTATGACTCTGACTTTTTTTTATTGATTATTTTCCTAAGCTCTGCCCCGACACCGTGAACGATTTCCGACGGGGATGTATGCCTCTCGGAAGATATTTTTCCTTGAGGACCTCTCTGATGAAGTTAACTGCTTACCACACACAGCATTTCACCACTTCAAGGTTTTCAAGGCAATGGATTTGTTGCCAAGATTGAGAAATCCCACCTGCTATTCTTATCTGCTTTCTGGCAAACGCATGTGATGGATGGCGAGCGGTAGCGTAGTGGTTCGCGCACTGTGCTACTGCTACTACACCCGGAGACCCGAGTTCCATTCCTGGCCATGAACTAACATCAGTGGCGATTATTTGTACCAGTCTTGGGCCTCCCCTATGTTGACTCAGCCTTAAATGAGTGCCTTGTACAGTGTGTAAATTATCACCACATGGGACACAGAAGACAGCTGGCCTGGTGCTGATCACACCAGGCCATCATGTGCCGTAATGGCAAGAACGGTGCTTGCTAACAGCATTTGCCCAAAAAGTGTGCTAAGGCTATATGGCAGGGGAGGGGGGGGAATATTTGTTTGTGTGATGGATATAATATACATATTTAAAATTTACATATGCTATGAAAACATGTATAAGTTCCCCATTTATGGATGTTTTAAAAAAAATAAACGTAGATGTGTTTATATTGTGCGTCTATTTTTTTTTGCAGTACGAATGACGTGTGGACAAACTGGCTAAGGGGCCACACACAGAGACAAGCACTGCCCAATTCTCACTTGATCACCGTGAAATTGGCTCTTATTTTCCACTTCATTCGCATCAGTCAAAAAGGCTGTACCGATTGTATTAATCAAAACTTGCATCTCGCTATGTATTGCAAGTTAACGTGGTCCCGCCCTGTAAAATATATTTCCTAATGCTAAGAATTGCAATTTCAAAAAAAGCACCACTCTATGCTTCTTTTTTGCACATCAGATTAGAGATTATACACAATTTGAAGACACACATTGCTTGTTCATATAAATAAGCGGCCTTCGGCAGTATGTATGAATGTATGTTGAACTTCTTTCGCACCGGTACATAGTCAACCGTGCTAATTGAAGGTGCAGGTGAAAAATGATTAGAAGGATAAAGAAGGAACGATGGCCGGTGGTCGAGACTGATGATGGAGTGGCAGCTAAAGCTGGGAACACGCCCGAGAGAACATCCGTCACAGAGATTGAGCAACGAAATCAGCTCATGTGTGGACACTCAATGGATTGTTGCGTCCCAGGGCCTTGAGAGTTGGCAACAACTTCGAAATGCCTCCATGCAGCAGTGGATAGATGAAAGAGAATGGCAAGCGAGCTTTGATGTTGGCACACAGGATTCTGACATTCACCCACCGCAAGACAGAAAGCCTTCCTCCAGACGACGTTGTCAGCTTTCCAGATTAAAGACCACTAAAATTGGATTCCGTTTACACACAAAAAAAACACATTAAAGGAGCTAAACTCCAGTGGCAAAGTCACTTTCAAATGTTCATGTTTACCCATCTTCTCTGCTCGAGAACGCACACAATGGACGGCGGATCAAATGCTGCTGCCAGACATCACCCCAGCGCCAACATCACAATGCTTCCCATTTCTCCAAAATCAACTTCAAGATTGTACTCATCTTCAAGGTCCTCCATTCACTCGCCCATGCAAAACCTTTCTAAAAACGTGACAATTTTTTTTTATTTTGAGCTATGTAGCTCTTTTTTTAGACGCGACTTGGCCACAAATGGTGGCTCAACGGAGTGGCTTCCAAAGTGAGAATTTATAGCAGCAAAACAAGTCTAAACGCGTGATGTTGAGTCTAAATGTGGAGAGAAAAACCGGAAGACCCAGAGAAATAGCCACGCAACCACGAGGGGGAGGGGCATGCAAACTCCAATTCAGGGTCGGGATCGAACCTACGACCTCCTGTACACCGGGCGAGGCAGTTAATATCTCCCCTCTCATCGCACTATTCTCCCCTCCACGGAATCGCCTACTTGCAGGAAAGGCTTTCTATGAAAGTCCCTAATCGACCTTCTCTCAATGGGAGGCCACTCATTCTTCTCTACTGCCCCTATTGTCTGCAATTCCCTTCCCAGGGCCATCTGCACTGTTAACTTCCCCCCCCTACCCCTGTACAAGTCCAAGGCTCGAGACCACTCATTTCTCTCTCCAAAAATAAATAAGGCTCTTGTTTCCATATGACGTCTTTGAGACGCGGACACATTTGTGGCTCGGTCAAAACGTGCCCGATAACACAATTTTTGTTTCTGGGTAGTGTTATTTCGTTATTGCTTATGCCTATAAAGTAGAGAAAATGGCTATTATTTCCCACAAACTTTGCTTATGTGACATAGTTTTCGACCTTGTGATTGCCCAGGAAGCCACGAACCCCTGCGAAAAAGCTGTTCCAAGCCGCTTTCTCCTTACTAGTGAGCTACTTGGGGAATTCATTGCACTCCAGGATCTTCTTTATCTGTGGTCCGACGAAGACACCGGCTTTGACCTTTTCTTCAGACAGCTTAGGGAAGAAGTCTTGAAGGTACTTGAAGGCTGCCGACTCCTTATCTACAGCTCTGACAAATTGTTTCCGAAGGTCCAATTTGATGTGCAGTGGTGGCATCAGCACCTTCCGTGGGTCAACCAGTGGGTCCCACTTGACGTTGTTCCTTTCCACAGAGAACTCGGTCCGCTGTGGCCAGTCCCGCCTGTGGTAGTGCATCTTGGTGTCTAAATCTTTTGTAGTCATTTTTCTATTACTTTAGTATAAATACATGTTAATTTTGATTCCTATGTTGTTTTTTTCTGACTTTATGTTAACGAAAAGACACAAATTCACCCGTTTTCTCATTGAAAATAGGTACATTTCAAAATATCACTGTCCTAGTCACAAAAGCAAAGTTCGTGGAGAATAATACCCTATTTCTGTACTTTTGAGGCATAAGCAATTAGGAATTAACACTTACTACCCAGGAACAGAAATAAAATAAAAATGTGTTACAATGTAATCAGTGCAACGGTGACAGATGGAAACTGATGGGTTGGAGTTGGTGATGGAGGCAGGAGGGAGGGTGTGGGGGATAGGCTCTCGATTTTGTTGCTTTGTGCAAATAAGAGCCTCAAAGGACAGTGGGCCCACTTGGTTTCCATCAAGGCACAAATTGCCCAGAGGCCCCGGCTGTATCGCAGGAAGTGACGTCCGCAGTGAGAGGAGTCCACGTCTCTCCCTGGGAGGAATAAAGTAAGGTGCTCCCATCCCTTTGAAGAAGAAAAAGTGCAAGATTGGG